AAGGTCCTGTGAAGGGTCGTAGTAACATAGAACAGGCGCTTCTGTAACTAGCCGTTGCACATCTGCGAACGCCTGGTCTTGTTCCGAGGACCAGTTCCATGAAGAGTCCTTCCGAGTCAGGCGACGAATCGGTTCCATGACTTCAGACAGTTTTGGAAGGAACTTGGCTAGATAATTGACGAATCCGTTGAGGCGCTGAACACCCTCAACGTCTCGTGGCTTAGGCATCTTCGTGATCGCCTCTACTTTAGCAGGATCGGACTTCAGGCCCTTGTTCGTCAGAAGATGTCCCATGAAATTTACTTCGCTCATCCTCAGCCTCATCTTGTCTGGGTTGAGGACAATGCCGCGGTCCTTGCACCTTTGAAGGAGATCTTGTAGACTTCTGTCATGGTTTTCGGTTGCTTCTTCGTCGGTCTCTCCAGTGCCATAGATGAGGATGTCGTCCGCGATGCACAGAACACCGGGTAGGTTTTCCAGTGCATGAATAAGGTGCTTCTGGAATATCTCGGGTGAGGCGGAGAGACCGAAGGGCAGACGAATCCATTTATACCTTCCATAGGGGGTCGCGAAGGTCGTGAGTGCGCTGGATTCAGGGGCGAGGACACAGTGTCAGTATCCCGACTTGAGGTCAACTGTTGAGAATACCCTTGCTTTTGACAGCTCCGGGAGTATGTCCTCAAGCACAGGAAGCTGATACCTTACTCTCTTCAGGGCGGTGTTAAGTGGCCTGGGATCGATACAGATTCTCAGCGCTCCAGATTTCATCACAGCCACAGCAAGACTGCTAACCCATGGAGTGGGCTCATTGATTGGAGCTATGACCTCCAACTGCTGTAGTCGATCCAATTCTTCCTTCAGCTTCTTTTTGAGTGACGTTGGGACACGGCGAGGCGGTGCGACGACGGGAGTGGCGCCCTGTTCGACTTCAAGGTGAACTGTTCCTGGTGGTGCTCCTAGCTCTCTTTGAAACACATCTGGGTAGCTGGCTACTATTTGATCAGCAGTCTGCACACTCCTAACCTCTGTCCTCGGTCGTTCAGGCGGTTCTGCGATCTTGAAGTTTTGCGTGTTGACAGTAATTAGGTCCATCTGTTGAGCTGCCTTTGCTGCTATGAGTGGTGTCAGTTGTCTGTCAACGACAAGGAATTCCACCGAGAACTTCTTCTTGTTCTTTGGATTGTGGAGAATTAATCAACAGGAACCCAGTGGCTTTAGTGTTGTGTCGTTCCACATTTGTAGCGTCTTTGTGGTGGGCTCGAGCTTCTTGTCAGCCACAAAACTGACGGGAATGACATTCACTGAGGCGCCGCTGTCTACTTGAAATTTCACTTCTGTCTTGTCTACAAACATTTCAGTGTAGATTGCTTTTGGGTAATCATGCTCTTGCGTGACGGCGTGTATCATTTCCGGTTGTGCAACAAAGCTTGTAATGTACTCCACGTCGCTGTCATCGGAGGATTCATCCCTCCGGTTGTGTACTTTTCTAGTCGGAGTTGTGCAAGTTGTTGCGAAGTGATTTCTGCCACCGTACTTTGTATATTTCGCTCCCCACGCTGGACACTCGCCCTTTTCGAAAGGATGTGCTTTGCCACAGAATTTACATGTCTTCGGTTTCCCCGCGCGGCTCTTTTTGGACTTGTCATCACGGCGGCTTGAAGGCGGATGTTTATCTTGCATGGCGTGAACATCTTCGTGCTGGGCGCCAGAGATCGTTTTTAATTGCAAATTTGTTGCTTCAGAACTCTTGCAAAGATCGATACACTTCGACAGAATGAGACTCCGTTCTTGTAGGAGCCGTTTGCGAGTGCGGTGATCTTGAATGCCCAGGACGATCCTGTCACGAATGATCGAATTACGCATGCAGTCGCAAAAATTACATGTTTTCGCGAGTGTGCGGAGGGCGGTGACATAAGCATCAATGCTTTCGTTTTCCTGTTGGTTTCTGGAGTTGAAAGTGTACCTTTCAAAGGTTTCGTTCAGTTCTCCGATGGTGAATTCGTCGAACTTTTGTATTATCCTTGCCAGGTCATTTTTATCGTCTGGACTGTCGAATTGGAAGCCGTTAAAAATCTTTAGCGCATCAACGCCGATACAATGGAGAAACAATGCGACCCTGTACTCCGATGATTTCATCTCGAATTGAGCAATGACCATGTAGTTGGTCCACATTTGTTTCCATACTTTCCAGTTGTCCGCCACGTTCCCAGTCGTAACTAATTTTCCAGGGGGCATTATCCCGGCCATCGCGCCGAAAGACGGCTGTGGCACAAATCCCTGTTGTGCTTGTGGCTGTTGCGAAAAACCAGGTGGTGGTGCTTCAGGCGCCGTTTCGGTGTCAGACATGGTTACAGGATTATTTCAGCTGTAGTTTGCGACTCTGTAAGTGGTAGGCGAAGGATTCTTAATCCTATTTCGCTGCCACCATGTTTCAAGTTCCGTTTAATCAAACACTCAATAGCATACAGCGCAGTAAGACACGAGGATGAAACTCGATACTAGTCTAGTTGAACATTGATAGTAATCACGTGCATATTGTAACAGGTTGCAAATTATTACAGTGAATGGTGGTATTGTTTGTGTGATCATCATTTCTATTTTATTGATGCACTCAGACAATCCCAATCCCGTATGAGTGGCTTTCAAACAGTAAAATTAGTCTGTGACAATTTGATATACTAGTATATATTAATGCAAAATGTGGAAATTCTAATTATAATCATTGCTAAATCAGCAAACATTTGCATACATTGTATTTACATGAAGAGTTTTTGGCCTGCATATGCCCAACTGGGTATACTACGTACCATATTTGCAATGGTGCCTGTAGTTGCACTGACTGCAACAGTAACTGAGCAAACAAAATGTCATACATATTATTGCTGTTATTATGTTATACACGTTATACAAAGTTCCCTTGGAATGGTCAGGATCCAGAAATCATTGCAGTGAACCCCAATAGGCAGAACATTTTCTACACATGTTCAACATGGCCACACACTAGTGATGGCAAAATCAAAGTGCTGCTTCTCCTGTACATAGCAAAACTACGAGTTATGAGAGAGAGGATGCCCCCTACAGTGATTTACTCCAATTTACATACTCTTATTGTAAACATTGTACATTGACAATATAATTTAAAAAATGTGACCTCAAAACAGTATCCCTAGGTTGATGATTTTCTTAACTTGGCCTGTCTACTTGAAAATGTGTTACTACTAGAGTATAAAGGAGAAATTATAGGTTGGCCACTTGTTCTTGAAAAGTGAAAATTTCATTGCTTAGCCCCCATTTTGTAAGTTATGAACACATTGTATGTTTTCTAATCCACTGTAAACTTTTAAACTTTATCCATAAGACTATT